CTCGAGTTTTATAAAATGATTCTCGAGTTTTATAAAACGATTCTCGAGTTTTATAAAACGATTCTCGAGTTTTCTAAAACGATCTTCGAGGTTTATAAAACGATCTTCGAGTTTTATAAAACGGCTGCTCGAGTTTTATAAAACGATCTTCGAGTTTTATAAAACCATCTTCGAGTTTTATAAAACGGCTTCTCGAGTTTTATAAAAAGATCTTTGAGTTTTATAAAACGGCTTCTCGAGTTTTATAAAACGATCTTTGAGTTTTATAAAACGGCTTCTCGAGTTTTATAAAACGATCTTCGAGTTTTATAAAACGATCTTCGAGTTTTATAAAACGATCTTCGAGTTTTATAAAACGGCTTCTCGAGTTTTATAAAACGATCTTCGAGTTTTATAAAACGGTTTCTCGAGTTTTGTAAAACGATCTTTGAGTTTTAGAAAACGATCTTCGAGTTTTATAGAACGGCTTCTCGAGTTTTATAAAACGATCTTCGAGTTTTATTAAACGATCTTCGAGTTTTATAAAACGGCTTCTCGAGTTTTATAAAACGATCTTTGAGTTTTATAAAACGGTTTCTCGAGTTTTATAAAACGATCTTCTAGTTTTATAGAACGGCTTCTCTAGTTTTATAAAACGATCTTCAAGTTTTATAAAACGGCTTCTCGAGTTTTATAAAACGATCTTCAAGTTTTATAAAACAATTTTTATAGTTTTATAAAACGACTTCTTGGGTTTTATAAAACTATTTTTGCGGGGAATTTTGGCTATTGATTCCGTCGTACCGATTTTGACCCCAACAAAACTCGAACCAAAACTACTTCATCCACGGTAGCAACACTATACCTAATCTACCGATGGATCTACAGGACATAGGAGAAGAAGAAAGAGAGACGTACATCGGAGGAGTTGCTGATGAGTTCACGGAGGAATATCTCTTTGTTTCTGTAGAAGGTGTTGATGATGAGGGAGAGCAATTGGTTGATCTCCGCCTGGAATGCGAAAGTCTCTGCGTCTGCCATATCGGAGATCTATGGTTTATTAAGAAAGTTAGAAAGAAAAGACGAGAAAAGAGAAAAAACCTCAGATGCTCTTAATGAGGCAAAAAGTGATCTAACATACTCTCACAAAATCTGGAGTACTCTTATTTATTCTGATACTCTCAAGGGTGGTGGTTAATGTCGAAAATGCCCATGACCGATTTAATGAATTGTTTCATGAATAATTCAAAATTATCTCTCTCCAATTCCCCCAATTTTCATCGAGCCGTCGTCGAGGAGTTCTTCTTCTGGAGTATTAGTCGAGTCCAGTATTCTCAGAACATTCCCTTGTTCTTCCTTGCATGTTATTGCCATCTCGTCGTTTTTGATTCCGTGTAACAGGGTATGTATCTCAAATCGTCACAGGGATTTCGATTAGATAGAAGATTTCGTATTTGTGTATGAACTAATCGAGGAAGATTGGAAAGTTTGAATGGTCTACTTATCAAGGAATTCGATAATCAACAACTGTATAATTGAATGTCGGGAATCAAAGCTGTTTAAAAGACTCGAGTAATTGTAACTGGAAATTTCTTATTCACTAATCGAAGATCAGAAAGGAATGAAAGTGTGGATGGTCTGTTTATTACTCAATTGCAGACAATGAGTCTTTTTTCGACGAACATACACTTTGATTATGATGGACATTATTCGAAGGATGGAGATGATTATGAATGGATTCCAACCGATGGTCGTTTGTATGCTATATCCTTTAAGACATCATCGTTGGAGGAGATCACTTATTCGATGTTGAAGGAGAAGATATGCAGGAAGATATGAATAGATCCGTTTATGAAGAGGTTCAGTTTGGGTTACATCCCATTGGTAGTGGAACCTAAGAGGCAATCATATATTTTGGATGATGAAGATGTGTTTGCTAATCTAACATCAGTTGATAGAGAGAAAAGAAGAAGTATTTTGCATGTGGAGAACATCGAAGAATTGCAAATAGTTCAAATAACCGAGCAACTATCAAGAGTCGTAGAGAGCTCTTGCGTGGGAGTGGATATGGAGAAGAAGAGAATGTGGGCACTGGTTTGGAAAACGATGAACATCCCCACAAGAAACAGAAGAAGAGTAGGTTGTAAGCCTTTTGGTTGCAGTTTTGTTTTGGTGTTTTTATCTTACGGGAACGTTGTGAGGGAATCAATTTGTATTTTTGTTTTGTATAACTAAGTGAAACTTGGTTTCTTTACTAGTATAAATACAATGGAAAAAATAATAAAATATAAGAGTTGATTAAGAGTGATGAGTTGATCATCCATTACAAGTCCACTACAAGCAGATTATACAATAAGACAATAGCAAGACAAACATGCATCATTTAGGAAGAGACGAGGAAGTTGTGGCACCATTCTTGCTGCTCAAGTAGTTGGTTAGTAAGTCAGTACACTCTTTCCTTTCCGGACATACACACAACAATGGAGAAGTTTCCCCATCTCCAACCACATTGAAGACAAATAAGTCTCCCACGGTGCTTCTGTTATCAACACAAACCCTTCTCCAGCCTCTTCCGATGTAAAACATGCCGCCTGCTTCGTTAAATCGCAAACTGACTGACCATGACTTCCCCTCTTTGTTCACCAGTTTCGCTTCTTGGCATCGATTGTTCAGAGCAGTACACCGCGTAGCCTCCACAGAAAGATGCTGCAAACAAAGAAGGTAAAGACACATAACAGATCACAAGTGTATCTTCACGAAGATTTTAAATTCAGACACATAAAGTAAACTACTCACAAGTTTGTCTTCAGAGAGATTTGACGGAATGAACTCAGCAACAAAACAATAGTCAAATGAGAAAAAAGGAGCACCATCCGCAGCATCATCCCCTTGAGGAGGTGTATATTGAATCTCAGTAAAACTAGGACCGAAAGGAGTCACATGAAAGACCGTGTCTCATTCCTTTTTGAACACGACAATGTCACCGATGCGAAGGGAGTGTGCTTTGGCGAAGGCTTTCCAACCATCGGTGAGTCTTCTTCCTTCTTGTATAACTTCCCAAATTTTGTGTGAAGCGTCCGATCGTAGTGTCCATTTTCCTTGGTTCGGTTTGCCTTCTATGTGTTTTGAGTAGAAGGCAAGTGGTATTCCCTACAAGTCAACAAAGGAGAAGTTAAGCAAAGGACATAAACAGAGGAGAAATAGAGAGCGTGTGTATACCATGCCACTGTAGAAACCAGGAAGCAGAGGCTTCAAGAAGTGAGGTTCATGCTGATTCGCCATCTGCAAACAAGAAACGAAATGGAAACAATCATACATGTTCGGTTTTACTATCCCCAATTGATTGAAACTCAAATTAAATCTGAAACAATCTTACATGTTCGGTTTTACTATCCCCCAATCGATTGAAACAACAAATCGATTGAAATCCCCAATTTTTGAAACCCTAATTTGAAACCAAAATTTCCCGAAATCGTTGAAAACACAAAACCAAACGGTAAAACTAAAGGAAAAGAACACCCAAATTGAAATGGAAACAATCTTACATGTTCGATTTGTTGTTTCAATCGCCTCAAATCGCCTTCTCTCGAGAGCTCTCTCTTATTTTTTTCTCCTTCATGCGAAAATGATTTTTTTCCCTAACCCAAACACGAAAACCGAGTGAAACTTGTTGTTTTCGTTACCGTTGTGGTTGGTCTAATAATTTGTATTTGTGTATTGTATAACTAAGTGAAACTTGTTGTTTTCGTTACTGGTATAACTACTATGGGAAAACTGAGTAATACGTTTGTAAACTCTGAACTTGTTAATTTAATAAGTCACTGAAGTAATGATATGGTTATTTATTACTAATGTTAAGTTAATTATGATTTGATTAAAATTACATCTAATTACTTGGTCATATAAAAAATGCACTGTGTTATTGTAGCCTTTTGGCAGAAACTGACCTCGTTACATTTGAAAACTTAGTATGGCACGAAATCAAGTTTATGTGTATATGATCGTATGAGAAATGAATCTAGGAAACATAATTTAATTGGTGTAACAAAAAAAATCAGTGATTCAAGTAGAGTATAACCAAGATAAATGGAAATAATTAAAAAGTGCAACTTTGATGTTTTTCGTAAAACTGAAAACTTAGCGAAACTTACTGCGAAATTCGTTGGGATAAATTTTCCCGCCCAGCTTTTCGAATTTCGAATTTCCTTCTTCCCAATTTTCTAAAACCACAAAATCGTTTAATCGAAGTATTAAAGATATTTTTTTGGGTTTTCCTCCATTTGTTATCTTCCATTTTCTCTCTCTCAAATCATTCTCTCTCTCTCTCTCTCTCTCTCTCTCTCTCTCTCCTCGAACTCACAGAGAAATCGAGATGTCCACCGCTTCATCTTCCACGACCGGTGGTCGGACACGAGTACGAACTCAGGGAATACCTATTAAGTGCTGGTGCGGGGTGGGAATCACTGAGCTCATCTCAAAAAGCAAACCAAACCCATTTTGCCGGTATTATCAGTGTCTCTATGCGGCTTCACTAAGGGTATTATCCGTTTACCTTTTACTTACTCTCAAAAGCTTACGAATTACGCTTACTCGTTTTGAAAATATCCATGTCGTAGCTTGAGAACGATAATCACGTTTTCAAATGGGTTGATGAAGCTTTCACCGATGAGATACAACAGTTGGATTGCCAAGTTCGAATGCTCGAAGAAGAAGTTAAACTTCTCAAAGAAACAATAAGGAGTGAAGGTCCGATGACGAGTTCCAAGATATCTGGAGGTTGTGTTCTTCTTACAGTCGTTTTAGTTCTAGGAATTATGATGTACAATAAGTGATTCCTGGAAAACTTTTCTGTCAACATTAAGTGAAACTATAAAGTTTGTCTTAAGTTTAGAAAGTTGAACAATTGAACTTTGTCTTAAGTTTGTTTAACTATAAAGTTGGAAAAATAGAGAGATCAAAAATATAACATTAACACATAGTTTTATCGACATTCAAACAACGTTAAATCCGACATTAAACATTTACATGAGACCTTCAACCCCATATATATGAACATAAGGGTCGCTGTTTAGTAGAGACTGCCTGAATTCCTCAACCTCGGGCAAACGCGGATTGAACCTGAAGTCCGCAAATCCACCTTCGGTCTCAAGCCATATTTGAGAAGGACCAAAATAACATGTATAAGTCATTTTAGTAAAAGTTCTACTCAACTATCACATTTAAACTAGTCACAGAAACAAGACTTACGGATAAATTTCCAGACTCTCCACATCTTAAGGGCCACAATCACCTGTCTACGACCCCCACCACTCATGTAATCAAGACCATCCCGGAAGGCATAGGCCCGATTGCCGGTCACCACACATTTTATCTGATGGTCACTATTCAGAATAAAGAAAAAGTGGGTCAGTTACAATATATATATATATATATATATATATATATATATATATAAATTTTGCTTGGATCATACGTTACTTTATACTCACATGTTGTCCCTTATGTAAAACTCCATCCTTGGTCCTGAAGGGGCATCGAGATAGGCTTCCGTGTTGAAGACCACTCCCATTGTATCTACCATATAAGTGTAACTCAACTAAATCAGTTCGTTTCACTTAGTTTCACTTACATCTACAGAGTTATACAAAGTTCTGAAACCAAGTCATGCGACTGTTGAGGGATTACTCAACTAAATCAGTTAGTTTCACTTAGTTTCACTTACATCTACAGAGTTATACAAAGTTCGGAAACCAAGATATGCGATTGTTGAGGGATTACTCAACTAAATCAGTTCGTTTCACTTACATCTACATAGTTATACAAAGTTCTGAAACCAAGATAACCAACATATCTATGGGATATTTGAGGTCACGCCAGTGCATACGAGGGATTTCATGGATGCTTTTGAAGTCCAAGAAAAGACGACTGTTCAGAGGTTCGATGATGCGGACTTGCGTACAACGCATAGCATTTAGTCTGAACGGAGACCTAGTTGGCTGGAAACCTGGGTAGGTCCGTTCAACTTATACCACAAAGATTTCCACCCATCTTCCCTCTTCCTTCTCAAGGCCTCAAAATTTGGATAATCCCCACCAGTGGTCATCTCCATCTTGTATCCCTACATAAATAACGTACAAAGATCATGTTTATTACATATTACAAGGATCAAGTTTTTATTTCTCACGGTTACATGTTTATTACACACTTGAGAGATGATGATATAACACTTACATCTTCATCTGCGAGGATGTACTTATAGTAAGTCCCAAGGTTGGTAATCGCGTAAGGGTAGATCCTGTGTAGTTGCACTCTGAAACGCCAAGCCCTAATCATGGGGTTAAAAGTAACCTGGGAAAGCTTATTGTACTCTGCCATCTTCTTTGTTGAGAGATGAGGGCAAGCTTTGTTAAGGTCGGTGAAGTCGACGCAGACGCGCCATTTCCCGTTCTTTTTCTTGACCACCACAGGATTCGCTAGCCATTCCGGGTAACGAACTTCTGCGATTGAACCAGCTCCGAGTAGTCGTTCAACTTCCTCGTTTACTGCTTTCGCTCTTTCGGGGCCCAACTTACGTCTTTTCTGGCGGATAGGCTTGAAAGTGGGGTCGACGTTGAGCTCGTGGGTGATTATTGCTGGATCAATTCCTTTCATGTCTGTCACAGACCAAGCGAAGGTGGACACATTTTCCTTCAGGAATGTGAGCAATGCTCGCTGCATATCGTCGGCTAAATGTGCACCGACGCGCACCGTCTTACTCGGATCAGAATCGTCTATAGGTATCTCCAGAACCTCGTCTTTCTGAGGGAAGGTTCGAGCGATCGGATGAGAGACAGAGTTGACTAGGGACGATGAACGTTGCAGCTTGACTGTGGCGATTAGCAGGTCTCGCGCGGCTTGCTGATCTCCGCGGACGGTCTTGATTGTTCCGTCTCCCCCAGGGAACTTGATGCATTGGTGGTAGGTTGACGGAACTGCTTGCATCGAATGTATCCATGGGGTTCCAAGAATGACATGATAAGGGGCTTTAGTGTTTACCACGGCAAATTTAACCGTTCGAGTAACTCCGCACTCGCGGACTGGGAGACGGATTGTCCCGAGGATGGTTTCCGATGAGCCGTTGAAGCCGGTCAAGGTCCGTGAGGATGATTTGACGTCGTCGAAATCTACCCCCATCTTCTCAAGCGTATCACGAAAGATGAGGTCAACTGAGCTTCCTGTGTCGACTAGTACTTTGGTTACATCGTACTTACCGATCTCAAGGTCGACTAGCAGAGGGTCGTTGTGGGGCAGGTGGACTCCGTTCAAATCTTCGGGGGTAAAGCTGATCGGCGCGTGACTCGGTGGCTTCGTAGGCCAGCGTCTCGAAGACGCGGCTTGACGCCGGTAGTCTTTGACGGAGCGGACAGAGTCGCCACAAGGAGGTGATCCACCCATGATGACGTTCAGCCGTGGTTTCGCGACTACTCGTTTGGTATCTAAGAATGTACGGAGATCCGCTGGGACGTTATCGCCGCTCGGCTTTGACGAATCCATGGTATGAGACGAGGTTGACTGCTCTAGCCGTTGATTCATTGATTTGGAACTGTTTAGTCGCGCGCGTAAATCGGTCAGGTTAGCGTTGAGTTTGTCGCGCAGATCTGTGACAGGCTTGTCGACCGACAAGGGTGGCTCCTTGGTTTCCAGGCATCGCGACTTGTTGGCTTGGAGCTTGAGGCGGAGGTCTCTGCTGTTGACGTCACTACATGTCGTCTCCTTTCGCTTCAGGAAGCTCCGCAGGTCGCTTGAGTCGGGCGAGTTATCGTCCTCGTCATCAGATGAAAAAGGTTGCTGAGATCGTATTACCTCAATACGTTGACAGCTTGCTGGTTGCCCCTCGTCTCCCGAAGAGGCTTCGTTGTCGGCGGCATCCGAAGGTTTGTCGTCTGGACGGCGTTGCTCTCCGCTCTTACCACCGGACTTTCGCTGCGCGCGCTTATCTTTGTTCTTAGACCAACTCTTACCGGATTTAGGTTTCTGCTTTGGAGGCTGAATCTTGAAGTCACCTTTTTCAACCGATGAGAGGAATTCAGCGTACGTCGTTCTACACTCGGTTGTGTCGTGTCCTTTGACATCATGGTACTTACAGTATTTGGAGAGGTCGACTCCTTTAGAAGATCCCGCTCCTGAGGTAGCCGGCGAAGCTGGTTGTGCCGGTCCGGCAGGACTGGCCAAACTTTTCAGAGCCGCCGTCTCTCGGTTGTACACGTTCCATGGCTCGCCGCGTACTGAGAAACTTGCGACTGGTGTGTTATTCTCGTCGACGACAAAGAGAAGGCCGCTCTTTTGTTTCTTGTCGCCGGAAGCGTGTTGACGCGGCTCCGGCTTTGCGTCAGAGGTCTTGGGCGTTGTCGGCTTTGCTGCGCTATGTTTGCCTATGATTGCTTTCGTGTCTTCCTCCATTCGGATGAAGTTGTGTGAGCGAGCTATGGCATCCTGGAGCGTTGTGGAGGTGCTTCGGTATAGGTCCTCTCGGAACTTGGAATCGAGATGGAGGGTGTTCATGAGAGCGTCGACGGCTATGTGGTCAGGGATGTCGATCTTTGAGACGATCGACTTGAAGCGCTCCATGAAGTCTCGAAGACTTTGGTCTTTAGTCTGCTTCAGGTTCCACAAGCTGGAGGCTGTTGCTTCGCGCTTAGTGAACATGATGTAGGTCTTGAGGAAAGCCGACGAAAGCTCTCTGAAACTGCTGATGGAGTTCTCCTTGAGACCTGTGAACCAGGTCAAGGCTTGGTCGTTGAGTGTTTCCACGAACAGCTGACAGTATGCGGCGTCTCTTTCGTCGTCGGGTAGTCGCGCTCGAGCCATCGCGATGTTGAAAGCAGTCATATGCTCCACAGGGTCACCGCCGGGTTTGTACTGCGGGACGCGCAGCTTCTCAATCTTGCGGAAGTTTACGCTAGTCAGCGTACTTGTGAATGGAGTACGCTCGGTTGAGGCGAGAACACTCTCGATCTGTGGAGCGGCGCTAGTAACCTTGTGAATCGTGGAGCTCATCTGTTGGAGGTTCAGTTTGAGCTCGGCGATTTCACGGACAGTCGTGAGATCTGGGCCGACTTGAGCTGCTTCTGCGGTGTGCGGCTCGGTGGGTTCCGACTCTTCGGAGGTATGGTCGGCTACCAGCGCCGTCGGGTTAGTGTTGAAGAGAAGACGTCGGAACGGTTGAGAGTTACTCGTCTGCCCGGCGGGAGCTGCTGTTAACGCTGCTACGAGTGCGGCGAGTTGAGCTTGAGTCTCCTTTTGTATTTCGTCTTGTCTGGCGAAACGCGCCATGACGGAGCTCATGAAGTCGGGAGGAAGAGGTGTTTCGGGCACGGGAGTCTGAGTCGGCTCCTCGCCGGCGGTTCC